AACATGGATATCGCCAGATAGAAAGACTAAAAACCAAATAGACCACGTGCTCATCGAAAAAGAGGAACAGCAATGTATAAAGAAGATAAGAACATACAGAGGACCAGACGCTGACTCAGATCACTACATGGTGGGTATCAAAATTAAGCAACTGATACCAGAAAACAAAAACAAAATAAATAAAAAGAAATGTATACATAACCCAATTCGATTAGCAACAAAAAAAGAGCAAGAAATATACGAGGAAACAATGGAAAGAGAACTAAAAAAGATACAAATAGAAGAGCAAACTGAGAACAAATGGGAAAACATAAAGCAAATAATGAACAAAGCAGCAAAAGAATGTGATAAACAAGAGAATAAAAAGATGAAAGACTGGTTCGACATAGAGTGCCAAAAAGAAATAGAACTAAGAAAATCATTAAGGATGGAAATGATCACGAAAGAAACAATAGAGACAAAGAATAGATATAGGGAGCAAAGACAAAAAGTAAAGAGGGTGCTGAGAGAAAAGAAGAGAAAACACATAGAAAATAAGCTAAAAGAAATAGAAGAGAATTACAGAAATAAAAAAATAAAAAACCTGTATCAAGGTGCTAGAAATGAAAAAAAAAGGTTTCCAACAAAAACCCATATTCGTTAAAAACAAAGCAGGAAATAATATAAGCGGGGAAGCAGAAATAGTCGAAAGATGGAAAGAGTATTTTGATGAATTACTAAATGGTAATAATAAGTCAAACCAAAGAGAATATATGGAAGCAGAAGCAAGAATTGAACACATAGACGACATAGAAGATAATTCACCCAGCAAAAAACAAATCGAGGAAATCATAAAAAATCTGAAAAACAACAAATCCCCTGGAAGTGATAACATAACAGCAGAGATGATGAAATATGGTGGAAAACTGCTAAATAATTGGATATGCAAGATCATAAAAGAGATATGGATAAAAGAACGAATACCAGAAGATTGGAAGGAAGCCATTATTTGTCCATTACACAAAAAAGGAGACAAAACAGAATGCAGTAATTACAGAGGAGTAGCGTTACTAAATACCATATATAAAATCCTATCAAAATCGATAAAAGATAAGCTGGAAAAAGAAGCTGAAAATATAATAGGCGAATACCAGTGTGGATTTAGACGAGGGAGAAGCACAACGGACCAAGTATTCATAATAAGAGAGTTACAAGCAGAAAGCTATGAACACAACTTACCAACGATAGCGCTATTCATCGACTTCCAGCAAGCATACGACAGAATAAAAAGGAAGGAATTAAAAGAGACCCTTGAGGAACTGGGAGTTAGCAGAAAGTTGCGTAACATGATACATCTTACTTTAGAGAATACAGAAAACAGAGTCAAAGTCAACAATCATGCATCGGACAAATTTATAGTAAACGAAGGATTAAGGCAGGGCGATCCTTTGTCATCATTACTCTTCAATTTATGCCTAGAAAAAATAATGCGAGAAGCGAGAATTAATAGAGAAGGACTCCTATATCATAAAAGACACCAAGTTTTGGCATTTGCGGATGATATAGTGTTGCTGGCAAGAGGAAAAAAAGAGCTACAGGAGATAGTACAGAGAATAGTAAAAGCAGCAAAGAAAATGGGACTTTACATAAATGAAACTAAAACAAAATGTATGCAGTGGACAGATGATCAGTTTAGGGATGGACAAAAGTTTAAAGTAGAAGTAGAAGAAAGATTATCATACGAATTCGAAATGGTGGAAAGATTTACATACCTAGGTACAATAATATCACGTAAACCTAACATTAAAGAAGAAATACAAGCTAGAATAATGGCAGGCAATAGAAGTGTACATGCTCTTAGTGGAATGTTGAAAAGCAAGTTTTTATCAAGAAAGGCAAAAATACAGTTATACAAAACAACTATACAACCAATAGCAACATACTGCAGTGAGACGTGGACAATGACAAAAAATGAACAAAATCTACTGGAGATATGGGAAAGGAAAATCTTGAGGAAGATATATGGAGGAATAATAAGGGACGGTTTATGGATAAGAAGATCAAATGATGAGTTAAAGAAATTATATAATCAACCTAACATAATAGGAGTCATAAAGGCACAGAGACTAAGATGGCGAGGTCACCTAGAAAGGATGCCAAACACGAGGACTCCAAAAAGGGTACTAAACTACAATATAACTTCAAAAAAGAGAAAAGGAAGGCCAAAAAATAGATGGAATCAGGAGGTAGAAAAAGATATGGAAGAAATTGGACTAGACGGCCAGAAAAGAAAAATGAATAACAAGAAGGAATGGAGAAAAGTCACATATCGAGCCAGAGAAGATCTCAGTACATAAAGGAAAGCGAAAATGAAGAAAGAACAAAATTTTTTAAGCCATGGGCCTCTAAGGCCTTTAGTGCTATTGTATATGTATACTAATAGTCTCTGAAGAGTGCAAAAGAATTTCTGAACAATATCAAAAGAGGTTGCGCGTGTATCCTAACACCCTGACATACAATCTTCTCCACAACCAACAAGCGATTAGATTAAAGCGATATGATCCCTTGGACCTACCAAACTATTCCTGACAGTGCCTACAATAATAGTGGATGCTACTCAATCAACAGCGCCCAGCCATTATAATCTCTGCCACTTTTAGTATTCGTGTTGTTCAAGTATTTGTATGTGCGCATCCTACCGGTAGAAAATCCAATATTTGTATTCTGATGCCTTGGTTACTGGATGCTGATGCTTTGTAAACTTTTTTTGAAATACATGGTCGATGCAGTAAATCCGCATTAGTAATATCCAATAATAGATATCCTTTTTTTAAGTCTTTCAAAAAGTATATTGCCGAGTATTTTCGATGCAGATACTAACAGAGTATATATATATATATATATATATATATATATATATATATATATATATATATATATATATATATATATATAAGCGAGGTTCCTACAGCCTCTGCCGTTTCTCGCATTTCGACCGCCATCGTTTTCTGTCCATCCATTCGTCTTCTCTGATGGCTCTATCTCTCATTATGTGCCGTACATTTTCTTCCCAGGCAACTGAAGGCCTTCCCCTTCTTCTTCTTTGTTGTGGTAAGTAATTTAAAGCTTTCTTTGGCCATCTATCTTCATTCATTCGTTTCACGTGACCATACCACACTAGTTGTCTCGTTTCAATTCTATCTACACTGGAATATACAGTATTTGTCCTCCTTCTAATATCTTCATTCCTGATGTGATCTTTTTTGGATATACCACACGCTCTCCTTAGAAAATCCATTTCTACTACTTCTATTCTTTTTCTATCCTTCTGCGTTATCTGCCAAACCTCTGCCCCATAAGTCATAATAGGCTCTACCAAGGTTCGATAGATTGTCAATTTCGTTTCTTGTCTAATATCTTTAGACCAAAGTAGAGAGTTTAGAATGTTTACCACTTTTTTTCCCTGCTGTGTTCTGTTTTCGATGTCTCTTTTGGTAGTGCCTTCTTTAGATATTATAGATCCGAGATATTTATATTCATTGCATGTTTTTGTGTTTCTAATTTCTAACTCTGGATCTTCTTCACCATCTCCTATTTTAAGATACTCTGTCTTTGCCATATTCATATTGAGGCCCCATTTTTCATATTCTTTCTTTAGTTTTCTAAACATGTAGTCCTAACAGAGGTTAACAAACTGTTACTAACAGAGTAATGGCTCTATAATTCTTGCAATCAAGTTCATCCACCTGCCAAAATATGGTCACCACTTTACTTTTATATTTCAGGACAGATTTTGTAAATTCCTGAACCGTTCGAAACCATGTATACTGTAGTCATGCGTCCTTCAGCATGGTGTCTCATACTTTGGATTACGGGTTTTGCTCCTAATTTACATCCAAAAACTGCAACATCACCAGAAATTGTAGAAAAATACAGGATATTGTATTAAAAAATCGTCGAGTGGCTAAACGAGATTTAGAAGAAGCCCTAGGCATCTCATTGTGTAGTATAAGTAGTATTTTGAAAGACGTACTAAGTTTCAGAAAGCTGTATCCGCAACGGGTTCCGCATTCGCTAACAATAACAATGGAACAAAAATACATCAAATGTGACTTTTTCAGCAATATTAAGAACATTTTCGAAGGGTTAAAGTATATGTTGTGCGTGGATTCTGAATTAAAACAAGCAGCTTAAGGGTGGTGTGACCCTTGTTCTTTAGCTCGGAAACGAGTTCGTTTTCCGAAATCAGCCAAGAAGGTGGTAGGTGTTGATTTTTTGGGATGCAAACCGAATTTTGTTTATGGATTACTTGCAAACTGGCAACAAATTCTTAATATTATTGTAACCTTTTAGACTAGCTGAAGTATAAAATTATCAAAATAAGACCCAGTTTTCAGAAGAAAAACATCAGTTTTCATCTGGACAATGCATCGTGTTATATGAACATTTTGTTATATTCCACGTATTTACTATATTTGGCCCCTAGTGACCATCTATTTCAATACTTAAAAAAATCCATGCGTGGAAAGCGATTTTCATTAATAGATAAGGTCATATCAGCTGCGGATGTGTATTTTGTAGCACTTCCAGATTCTCAATTCAGGGATGGAATTTATAAACTGGAATCGCGTTGGAACAAGTGTATTGATATTCAGGGATACTATATTGGACAATAACATGTACTTCAAACTATTAAGTTGTATTTTTCTAATCTGAATTCAAAACTTAGTTTATTAAACTTTTGTTATTAATTACAAATTTTTAAAAGTCGACAAAAAAGATATTATCGATACTAGTATAGCTTTCAGAATCCTATCCGCTCTCACAAGTTTTGTAAACTTTGTACCTTACGATAATTGTTAGGACCAATCAAATATTAAAAAAAAACATATATAAGAACAATTAAAAATTAGTTAATATAACTAACTCCTACTCGTATTATTTACTTTAAGAAAATCATTAATTGATACCAATTTTAAAAACATAAATATCTAAGATTATTAAATTATTTTTATTTTTAGATTATACGTTATTGGAAGTGTTAAAGGAAGAGCCAGTTCGAGTTACAATCAAAGGTTTAAGAAGAACCTTTTATCCTCCTGTTCATCATGCGCCCGTAGACAATACTCCTCCCGAAAAGAAAATGGCGTTAGAATGGGTGTATCCTTTATATTCAGAAAAATAAATTTTTCCCTGTTTAGTTACGACTCTACGCATTTCTTAATTAATATTTTCTAATATAAAATAGAATAATATGATTATTGTGTTATATAAAAACTTTAGGATAAATAAATAAAACATAAAAAAGATAGCTCATTGAAGTTCCAAAAAAAAAATAGATAAGAAAATTTTATAGAACAAAAAAACTTATAGAAGTGACCCGGACCTCTAACAAATTAAAAAAATTCCAGAATATTGATCTGTAATATGAAGCCAATTGGACAGAAAATGTTAGTTAAATTTTGTAGTGCAAAAATATTTTTGTATAACTATAAAATTTTACAAATTCTAATGGATGTCATATTAGACCTCATCAAAAGTTTTTTGATTTCCTATATCAGTGGTTTTCAAAGTGTGGCTTTGGAAAGAGCGGAGGGATGTTTTAAAGAGATGTTTATTTTAGAGCTTAAATAAAAATATAAATAAAAATATAACGCCCTAATTATAATAATATTGTTGTCGTTTATTTAAGAACGTACACTGAATGCCTCGTAAAACATAAATAACATTAAACTTTTTACATAAAAATATAGTACAAAATAAAGAAATACATATTGCTCTTTGCAGTCTCCCGAGCCCCCAGACACTACTACACTGTTCACTTATCACTACGCTGTCACTACTAGTACAGTAGTGACAGCGCAGTGATCAGTGAACAGTGTAGTAGTGTCTGGGGGCTCGGGAGAGTGAGACCTCGGAAGCCCTGAGGAAGGCATCAGAGAGGATGCCGAAAGCTCGGCAAAATGGATATCAACGCGGTTCAACCCGGAAGACTGGTGAGTTTGATATTAATTTTAGTAATAATATTAATCTTAGCTCTAGGTTTCATATATATATATATATATATATATATATATATATATATATATATATATATATATATATATATATATATATATATATATATATATCGGTATTTTGTTTTCTGTACACCGAGCTGGGGATCGAGCGCACATCCACTGTACCACTCGCAGTGAATATTCCCTTTTTTTAACATAGATAAACCTTTGGCATTTATCCCGTCATGATTATGAAAACTTAACTATAGTCGGACAATTTTCAATTAAAGGTGACTAATCTACAAATTGAACTAAACGGTAGCGGCAACCATGAAAAATTTCATTAGTAAATTCTTACCGGGGTCATTTTTATTGTGTATGCTTCGCCCATGTAAATATGTAAATTTGTAACGCATCTAAGATAAATTTGCCCCCGTAACAGTATAAATTGGTGCGATTCACGAGTGTATAGTGAGACAAGTTCATAGAATAGTTTGGAACATCGGTAAAATTATCAATATTTTGCTGGTCTATATATATTTACGTTTTTAGAAAGAATGTTAATTAGAGAAATATGATATCTTAGTTTATTGAAGTTTATGAAATATGATATCTTCCAGATTTTATACATATGTACATATGTACATAGGCGTAGTGTATTATTGGGAATATATTTATTAACTATACTTTATTATTAACTTTAAAATAGTTTTGAGGTAAGTAAAGTAAATTTGAGGCCAGTTTATTCTTTATATAGTATTAAACCCTTAACGGCCACTCAATATACAAAGAGAAATTTGACAATTAATTTATTAGATTGGATTAAAAACACAAATTAGGAATAAATTACAACCAAAAAGATTTTTTTTCTCATTTTTAAGGAAAACAGTACAATTTTTAATAAAGGAACATATTGTATCTTAAACGTAAATTAAATTTTAAGGTAAAAATTTTCGAAATATTCGGGGTGTAGATGAATTCTACACTTTTTACATAAATAAATAGTATTACTTTTGTACATCCTACATTTTTGCAATATCGTCTCTTTTTATAATGTGGCCAATATCGAATCTGGTTTCATCTGGTAAAGCAAATTTAGATTGACGCCCATGTACTGACACTGATGTAGCGGTTTCTTCACTATTATAAATTAAAATTATAAATCTATGTCGGCTCATGCTTTCTCTTATAATATGCACTTCTTTATCCTCATCCTTTGACCAATGCATATCAACTTGAAGCAGAGTGTAAACCAGATAATATACATATGTTAATAATTTTTTTAAATCTATGTTATTCATTTTCATTTCAAAAAGAGTAAAAAAACTTCAATATATGACTTGCCTACATGGTTGGCTTTTATATTGTCTAAATATCAATCAGACTGATGTTGAATTACTACTGAGCACGAAAGAATATCCGTTATTATAATTTGAGATAAATTTGGATTTACTATTTTTGCCTTATTTTTACTTATTGGTTTTTTATTTGGACGTTTTATCTGTGGTTCAGAGGAATATCATAATCAGAATCGTTAGAATTCCCAATCACATGTATTTCATATGTACCTGCAATATCCGATTTTATTGATTCTTCACAAATAATATTATCATCAATTTCTTCAAGGAATACAATAATATACCAGCAAACGAATGGGAAAGATACCTGACTGAACTGTTTAAAGCAAAGGAAAATAATAATCAACACAATAACGTACCTGAACTAAGAGACGAAATAGAAATCAGTTTTCACGAAGTAGAAATAGTCATAAATTCACTCAAAAATAGAAAGTCACCAGGACCAGACGAAATAACCAACGAGCTTCTAAAATACGGATGAGAAAGTTTAACCCTAGAGATGACAAAACTTATACAAAAACTAATATTGCACTGCAAGATACCAGACGCATGGAGAAACAGCATAATGATACCAATGGTCAAGAAAGGAGATAAAGAAGACCCCAACAATTATAGAGGTATAAATCTACTGAACACCGCACTTAAGCTTACCACAAAAGTCCTAACCAACAAAATCAATAAACTAACAACTTTATCAGATGAACAACAAGGATTCAGATCCGGATGATCCTGCGTAGACGCCGTATTTGTACTAAGACAAATTACAGAAAAGGCCATCATATCTATGTTTTATAGACCTGACAAAGGCTTTCGATCGCATCCAAGTCGAAGACGTCTTACACCTACTGTATAAAAGGAACATACCAATCAATATTATACAAACCATCGAAAGCATCTACCTCCATAATCGAATACAAGCAAAGATAAACGGAAAACTAACACAGTGTATACCAGTACAAAGCGGAGTCAGACAGGGTGACTCGTTAAGCCCACTTCTCTTTAATATATTAATGGACGAAATAATACAAGCAGTACGTAAAAGTCATGGCTACAGAATTGGGAACAAAGAAATCCAAATATTATGTTATGCAGACGACGCCGCATTAATCGCCGAGACAGAAGACGAGCTCTAAAGATTAACACATATCTTCAATACAACAGCTAAGAAATAAAATATGATAATATCAGCGGAAAAATACAAATGTATGACATTTAAATACCCACTACGGTGTAAAATCGAAATTGATGGGAAAATAATAAAGCCGGAAGCAAGGGTTAGATATCTGGGAATAGATATAACTAGTTACGGAGATGTTGAAGAAGAAGTACGACAGCAAAGCTTAAAAGCAAGTAAAGCGGCGGGTTCTCTTAATGACACAATCTGGAAGAACAAACACCTAAGAAAAAAGACACAAAAACAAGAGTCTATAAAGCAGGAATTAGACCTATATTAACATACACGGTTGAGACAAGACCTGACACATCTAAAACGAGACGACTGCTAGAAACAACAGAGATGAAAATACTCCGACGAATATCAAGGAGAAGTCTGTTGGATAGGGAGAGAAGCAAAAACATAAGAAGAGCATGCAATATAGAAGACATAAATGGATGGGTGACAAAACGAAAACAAAAGTGGAACAAACACATCAGTAGAATGGCGGAGGATAGAATAGTACGAATAGCACGATATAAGTCACCAAATGGACGAAGAAATATTGGCAGACCAAGAAAAAGATGGTGCGACAATTTAAACAATTTAGGAAGCTAATATTGAAGAAGAAACAGGCTTTAAAGCCTACAAACTAGAAGGAAGAAGAAGAAGAAGATGTCTTCTACATCAGAAACTTTCTAATCTAATCTCGGCGGCAAATAAACCACATTAAGTGGCATTTTCACAATCTGAGTCTTCTTCTAACAAAGCTATTAACTCTTTAGTAGTTAGTGCCATCTTCATTTCATATTTCGAGAATTTACTGAAATAAACAAATGCACTGCTATATAAACGCATTCATATGATAATAGTTTAGCTTACTTCATTTTAATTTATATGAACTTCATAATATATTTTCATATTTATGTAAACGAATAAACACAACAAACTTTCAAATTAAGTTTAAAAAAAAACAAATATAACGTTTACAGCACACAGCAATTCTATAAATAGAGAATAATGTGTAATGATGTGTAATTAAAATTGCAGATTGTTTTTAGTCTAATGAAAAAAAAAATATTTTCCAAAGTTCTCTGTTTTTTGAAGTTCTGTATTAGATACTCTCTAATAAGAATAAAATTTTATTTTATTTTGTTAGACAACTATAAGATACCTGTTAAAAGAGACATGATAATTTAATAATTAAATCGGTCTTAGATTTAATTTTTACGTAATTACTTATGTGTTTAAATATATAATTAAAAATTTTTTTGGTACGCCTCTGCAAAATTGATAATTTCAATACGATTTCGTTGAAAAGTTATCGTTAAGGGCTTCGTTAAATACGATGTTGCCAAGTAATCACCTTCAATTAAAAATTGTTTTAGTATAGTTTAGATATTTCAATCGAAAGCCGAAGTATCTTTCTTGTAGGCGAGTAAATTACTTTTTTTTATAAATGGTTTGTAATAATTTTCTTATTCAATTTAATGTTAGGGTATACATATTAGTTGACAGGGGTATTGTTTTCTTTTCTTAGTCAGGTATTCTACAAACTATACGTAATAGGTGAAGAGTAATATACGTTAAATTAATTGTAAATTGAACTTATTTTCATAAATTAATTAAAGCAATCATTACAGCAATATAATATACTTTTGGAAGTAACCTTTTT